TTCATGAGTGCCTTTTTTCTTGGGTCGATTCTAATTAGGATTTGTCAAAACTAATTAGAGCATACAAGTATATTATCAACCTTCATACAGTTTTGTGCCTCTAAAGAAAGAAATTCTCTCAAATTTTTCCCAGTTATTATAATGCTGAAATTAAAAACTGAGGTATACACAATATGAATTAAACATATCAGTAGGAAATAGAGAGCGAAGTCAACTGTAAAACCAAAAAGCTACAAACTGTAACCTAACATTTGACTGAGCAATTTGAAAGCAGGGAAATTGAGTCTAATTTCACCAAATTTGATATAAACATAAGAATACCTATTTAACTACTGTTTGACACCCTGAAAAGATTATGCAGCTCTATAGAAGATGACACCACTCAGTTTCCACACATAACTTGCACTTGGCTGTGGCTCAGCTTATGCTTTATGGGTTTTAATACATCTTAGCCATAATAGAAAGGATTATTGTGATGATGGTCATGATTATTACTACATAATATAGTATTGATGCATGACAAAACAAAGATAAGGACAAATAAAACAATTTTCAAGTGAGAGCACATGCTGGAAGAAGCTGTGACAGAAGAGCAAGACTTAAAGGCTTATAAGGGCTAAACTATACCTAAAAGGTTAAATATGGGCAAAACACACACATCAAAACTCTATTAGCCCTTATAACTTTAAATAACTGAGCTCTTCCTGCAAAATTGCACCATATATATAACAAGACTTGTAAACCAAAGACACTTTTTGTGTAACTTCAGAAAAGGCAAGTAAATGCTTTGATTTATAGAAACAAACACCAAAGATCCAAATGATTTTACAGCCACACTAACTGCTTGTTTTATCCATGTGTGTAGATGTCCCATTTCCACATAGAAAGTCAATGGATATATATACAGGGCAAATATTAGTACCTAAAAATTAATATCCATTATATCATTATACCATTCTGTTGGATTAAGAAATTATGACTCTTGCTGGAAAAGCTTCCAATTAAGAAGAAGCAAAAAATACTGGAAATAAAGAAGAATTTGCCAATATTTAAGCATTCTGAAAAATTATTATTAACTATGACATGAAACATAAAATTATTCAACAAGTTAAAAAGCAGAATGGTAATACATCTGATAACTTGGAGCAGCCTCCTGAATTTAATAATGAGTTCTGGAAGTTAATCAACTACTGAAACAGAACTGGAGAACAAAATCTCTGTATTTCAAAATGGAATATATATCCCTTACAAAGACAACGGATTAAAAGTAAATGAGGAATGAACATGAAACTCCAAGATTTAAAAAAAAAAAAAGTAGATGTGCAATGACTCCTAATTAGCTAAAACTTAATAAGAAAGATTTATAAGCAACATTGAAAATGTACATGGTAGCAAGCAATAAATATGCTCCTGGACAATAAATGTGCTCCTGCAAGAATGATAAAGGCATTTTGCAGTAGTCTTCCAGTTTAAACACCACTGAAATTTATGTGCTGAGCTAATGGTACCATTAATCACATCTCCAGAAAAGATCTTGCCATTTTAACCCAGTATTAACTACATCTCTAGATGGTCAACCTCTTATCTACAGGATCAGAGTGGGTTGGAAGGGACTTCTTGAGGTCATCTAGTCTAACCTCCTACTCAAAGCAGAGCTCTTGCCAACACCAGTGGGTCAGGTCAGCTGTGGTTGTGTCTCACCAAGTCTCTAAAGCACTTCAGCAGCCCCAGACAGCCTGAGTCTGTGCCCCACCACCTCCCAGTGAAGAAGCTGTTTCTGATGCCCAGCTGGAACCTTCCACACTCCCATTTGCAGCCATTGCTCTCTGACCTGCCACTGCAGAGAAGGGTTTGGCTCTGTATCTGATCTTCAAGTAGTTGTGTGCTGTTCCTAGACACCTCCTTGGCTGCCTCTTGGTGGGAGTCAACTAAGCCAGCTCCCTTAGCCTCAGCTCACATGTGCCCCAGACACATCTACAGCTTTGTGCTGGGCCCCATTCCCATCCTCACATCTCTCTTGATTTTGGGGGTTGCTGGCCACCAAATTGAGCATGTTTTTACAGTTGTGGTCTCACCAGTGACAGTAGGCAAGATATAATAACTTCCCTCGATCAGTGGCATCTTTTTCCCTTTTCTTTCTGCTCAGTTTCTCTACCAGTTTAAAACACTCCTCCTGATTCCACTGCAAGACTTCTCTTCTCAGGAGCAACTCAGATATACATTTCCTAAAAATGTGTGAAGAAAGTTGAAACAGGTGGCAAGGTTACCTTAGCACAAAGGGATCAAGGAACATGAAAAATTTCTTGATGCCTCATGATTTCAGAATGATACCAGAGTCATCAAAGAGCTCATAGTATTAGCCTTGAGCCTTGTCCAGGAGCCCTTCAGCATGTTTGAAATGGCAGAACTGAGCTGGACACAAGGCAAATGTCTTTCCGGTGAGGTCACATTTTTTTGGAAGGGCACAGGAGATGACCCTTGAGTGTAGTGTGGCAAGCTGAGAGCCCAAAAGGCAAAAATCATGGCTCTGAGATAGACCTGGTCCTGGGACCAGTTAACCATGCTTTGATCTCAGTAGAACTTGATTATAGATAGGAAACAGTGAAAGTAAATTTGCCACAAAGCCTGAAACCTGAAAACCAGAAAGTCAAAAGGAAGCACTGGAGATTGTGAAAACCTCCACAAAAGTGTGGCAAGCTGAGAGCCCAAAAGGCAAAAATCATGGCTCTGAGATAGACCTGGTCCTGGGACCAGTTAACCATGCTTTGATCTCAGTAGAACTTGATTATAGATAGGAAACAGTGAAAGTAAATTTGCCACAAAGCCTGAAACCTGAAAACCAGAAAGTCAAAAGGAAGCACTGGAGATTGTGAAAACCTCCACAAAATCTCTGGAGGCAGCACAATAAATCAGACTGTAAGCTGAGACCCAATTAATATAGATGCCATTTAGAACAGTGATGGGCAGGAGTTTGCAGGGACTCCTGACTTTTTTGTCTGGAAAAGCCAAACCAGAGGTCACACACTGGACAGAGGAATGTCAAGTGACTTTGACTAGCTACAAAACCTTCTGGTTATTGATCCAGTATTGATTCTATCCAGTTCTGAGCTACTCAGTATGAGACATGGGGTTCCTGGAGCAGGTCCAGGGAAGGGCAACAGAGATGTTTAAGGGACTGAAGCATCTCTGTTATGAGGAAAGGCTGAGGGAGTTGGGCCTGTTCAGCCTTGAGAAGAGATGACTGAGAGGGACCTCATTAATGTATACAAGTATCTGAAGGGAGGGTGCCAAGAAGATGGAGCCAGGCACACAAAAAAATCACAACATGATACGTAAACAGCAAACTACCACCCAAAAGTTTCAACTATAACCAGAAAAACTGATATTTTTTTCAGACTTTGACTATAGAGTGGCATTTTCCAACATGAGTCAGGAACTGAACTTTTTGCCTCAAAGAACAAAGAAGCTTCCATTCTACTCAGTGCTTTTCTTTTTGCTGTCATTGAAACAATGCAGAAATGAATGAAGCCATAGGAGCTCTCTGCTTCACTTAGAGTGATCCCTTCTGCAACACAATGTCCCCAATACTGATCCTTCCTTTTTCACATCTGACAGGAAATTCATAGTCTAATTATGCTTTTAAATTAACATGATGTTATATGTAAGAACTCTTAAGTGGGACACTATACTGCCCTTCTAATCCAAGAACTGACAAGGTAGCCCATATATGGACTCCTTTGTACAAAGGAAATGTGCCAAGAGATAAACAATGCATCTATTTAATATTTTTGGACTTTTCTTTCATTTCACAACTGATGATGCTTCATTAGATAGCAAGCCAGAAAGAGCAATGCCTAAGGAAACACCTTAGAATCAGAACATCAGTGGAAAGTAGCTTAGCAAAAACACCTTATGAAGTGATAGAGGCAGGTACAGATACTTAGATAATGAAGACTAAGAAAGTACTTACACAGTATTTACAGTCTTGAAAACTTGTGGTTTAAGAATGATGACAAGATCTGCAATTACACCTCTTACACACTACCTCTCCTCACATTCATGTGAATAATTAGCAAAGTTAGGGTTCATTCTTTGTTCTGTGCAATCTGTATTTTCTTTTACCCCACCAGCCAAAGTCAATCCATCAAAAGTTTAAGAACTATACAGCACATGAATTTTTCTGTATAGTGTTCCAAAACCCAGCTGATTTCTGCAATAGTTTTTAAACAAACCACCCAAGTCAGCCTGGCAGAATCTGCACACTGAACATTGCTGAAGGAAATTTGTATTTCCCCAGGACAAATATTCTATTGCCTCTACATATGCTTATCCATGGCTTTATACCTTCTGCAGGTAAAATTCTCACTGACCTCACTGGGAGTTTCTCAGATGAAATGAATGTTTCATAATGCTGTGAATTCCAAACCAGAGTAGATTTCTTATTCACAATTTCCTCAATCAAAAAGTGACACTGAATTGGATGAAAAAATGAGTGGCAGTAGTATTTCAACACAAGACAGGAATTCTTTACACCTGTGCAAGACAGTGCTGATATACAATCAGAATAACAGGACTTTTAACTTTAGCATAAAGAGCTGCAGCTGGTGCTGAGGAAAAAACAACCACTAAGTCTGGGAAGTTTGATGCTAGCAATTCAAATGATCTCCAGGCTACATTGATTTCAACAACCTTAGCCAATTTATATTAGCTAGGAATCTAACACCTTCAGATTAACTTGCTGCCATGATGAGCTGCTCTTAAAGCAAAGAATGGATCTGCATTAACTGCTCCACACACACACACACACCAGAATCATATGGAGAGGCAGCAAGTCAGAAGGGTTGGGCCAACTGCTTTAGGTCCAAGTGTTACAGAAATGGCCAACAAAAATGCTAATTAAAGAATAAATTGACCAAGCTGCTTTACAAACTGTCTCAGTATCCAAGAACTGAAAGCTTTAGAAAGCAAAGGTTATCTCTAGAGTCTGAAAAGCAGGTTACCTGGTGCTTTTGTGGGTCAGCAGTACTGTGGGAGAGAGCAGCACCTGGAAGGTGCCCATCGACAGGAGGTTTCCCTGCCTCGGTGCCAGGGGAGACGTGGGACGTGGTCAGCAGCTGAGCACTGATGGGACCATAGCCATTGGAAGGCAGATGGATGTTGTTTGAGGCAGCAGCTACTTCATCTTCATCACCGGAGTCCGTAATCAGGATAAACTCAGCCTTAAAAAGGTCATTCTCCTGCATTTCTCCTTTGCTTGAATTACACCCCAGGGACTGGAAAGCTGTTCGGGTGTTGTCTGTACAGATGGAGGACACAAAGTCTTGTCTGGCCCCACTCTTTAAGCCCAGCTCATCAGACACCTTGCTAGACTGCAAAAGATACAAGGAAAAAGATGCCAATGAACAGCATTTTATTGGTGTTCCCCAAAACGTGAAGCAATTTTGGCTTTCGGTGGTGGTTGGCTCTGCGCTACCAAAAGTGTAGAGGGCAAATGAAGAGTTTGGGCATGAGCACCCAGCAGAATCCCCAGCTGATGCTGCAGGGATTGCCTTCCCAGCACCTCACAGAGCCACAGGGGACTCAGACAGTGATGGCCAAGACCGGGGCTGGCGCGGGAACCGACGAGGAGGGTGCAGTCAAGCCGAAGGAGCTGCCAGACCAGACTATGCCAGACACGATGGGAAGGCATCCTGACTGTGGGATCCACGGGAGCAGACAATGCTCCTCAGAGGAGCCTGACAGACAAATCTGGGGCAAAACCTATACATATTAATGAAGAAACAAAGGCCCTTAAGACAAGGCATTCTCTGAAGAGAGCAGACAAAGGCTGAGGTCAGAGAGCTTTACTGTATGTTCAAGCTTCTCAGCACAGACCACAATTGTTCTTCGTAGTTTCTGCAATTTCCATGTCCAGTATGTCACTTCTTAAGTATGCTTTGGATGAGAGCAGGAGTGGAGCAAGCTGTGTGTACAGCACACAAATCATCAAATCATTCCATACTGAAATAGCCACGGGAAATCCTATTTCCCTTGAAGCAGGAATCAGGTGAATGAATAGACATATTGTATATTGCAAGAGGAAACCTGCAGATAGGACTCACATTTGAATCCTGCCTGAGGAATACGGTAATTACAAATTTCTGCATCACTTGCAGCTCCATGGGTTCCTGTAGCTCAGTTCTTTGGGAAAATATTGGACCACAAAGAGGGATAGCAGCAGTGTGACTTTGACAGAGTTACTTTAATTATCTTGTGTTGGTTGGTTTCTTAACATTTTAGAAATGGGATTAGTTTGTGCTATGAAGGCCTCAGTCCTGCATCACCTGTCAGGAAAGTTTCCTCTGATGACAAAGAAACATAAAATCACAGAATTTTAGGGGCTGGAATAGACCTTAGAGATGATCCAGCCCCAACCCCTGCCCTGGGCAGGGACACCTCCCAGCA